TTTTTTTTTTTTTTTTTTTTTTTTAATGATTTCTTTACCCTAGTGCTATGTTCTAAGCTCCCTTACACTTTTTTTGTGTGGCAATTTGAGAAAATGAAACATTAGCTATGGTTACATACTTGGGCGTTCTTTTAAAGTGAAAGTGGAAAAAAAACTTAATCCTCTTCTGAGAGCCCAAATTTGAGAAGTTCCCAAAGCTCAGAATTGACCTCAAAATGCTCTTCCCCTCCAATGCACGGCAGGCGAGACTGAACCACCCAGTGGCGGCGTGGCACCCCCCAGGGGTTACCGCTCCACCCCGGTGTTGGGGGGAGTTGGGGAGCCGGGCGGCAGACAGGAAGGCGGGCCCCTTCTCGTACGGCTCTGCTCCGCAATTGGCCGCCGCTCCAGCCAATACCCGACGCGTTTGGAAGAGCGAACCAATAGGCGACCGCGTTACAGCAGCTGGCTGGAGAAATGGCGGCTCGGCCCGCTCTCTGTGGCTACCGAGAGAGGAGGTCGGGAAGCGGACGGGTGCGCCTCAGCATCTGGCCTCACATCCTACTGGAGATCCGCGAGGAGCCGTCGAGGCCTGGCCAGTGGCACAGGTGGCTCCTCCCGGAGCGAGGGCGCTAGTTGTCCCATTTGTGAAGTCAACCGGCTCCCCAGGGTGCGGCCCCACATCACTGTGAGGCTAAATGGCAGGCGCCGAGCCGCGGGTGATTGTTATGCGCTCTTAAGAACGAATCACCCCGGCATTCTCGCTGGCAAACCTGAAGACACGTCAGAAAACCAGCCGATCGGGGTGGGTCTCATTGCTAAGGACCTCCGGGATGTGTTTTCCAGATCCTTCTGCCAACACCTTAGAGCCTCGCTTAACCTCAGAACCAGCCACATCATCCCTAAAATGAAATGAGGCTCTCAGGCTACCTTCTCTTATGGAGGTGATTGGTGGTAACAGTAGTAAGATTAACCTTTTCTCAACAGGGATATATCACCCTTTACTTATCCAGTCTTACATACTGAACTGGCTGATGTGGTCTTAACAGTATAGCATATGAGACACCTGTATCTGTCTAATACGGGATTTGGAAGGGGTTAGAAGTAGGAGCTGGAGAGATGATTTGGTGGTGGTTAAGAGTGTTTGCTGCCCTTCCAGAGGAGGATTCAGTTCCCATCACCTATGGCCTCCGCCAGTAACACGTTTCCAGGGGCTCTTTAACTCTCTTCTGCCCCCCACCTCCACCTCCCACAGGCACCCGCACACAATCTTTTCTTTTCTTTTCTTTTAAATTAGAAACTGGGAGCCCAAGTAGGAGGTTATCCAGTGACATCGATTTGCGGTTGTTTGGACTCGGTCTTTTATGGTCACAACAAGAATAAGAGAGTTAATGAAGAATGAGGAATTTGCAGTTTTTAATTTAGAAATAGGAAATCAAAAACTTGACATTTTCTTGAAAAATCAGGAGATGAAGAAGTCTGGATCAAACAGGAATGATGGTTTGGGGTTTTTCAGTGAAGAGTGTTAGGACCATTAGAACTGATTATTCTGAAATAGAAATATGGCAGTAGAGGGGCCTGGAGGAAACCCAGTTAGGCCACAGGGCCAAATCAGTGAGAAATGAGCCAGTAAGAATACTGGGTAAAATGAAAGCTTGTTATTCATGTCAATAAAGGAAAATATCATCCACTGAGGACTCCTGCCCTTCAGAGCCCATAGTCACAGGCCTCAGGGCTGTCCTTTTGGTAGAGACTTATGAAACCACGAAAGACCTTGGGATCAATTGAGTGGGATGATACTGTGGGGTCTTCCTGCATGGCTGCCATCCAGAGCTTAAGTTTTGGAGTGTTGGCTACACACCTGTAGGAAGACAAGATGAGAGATGTGAACGAGATGAACTAGGTGGGCATCCCATCGTCCCAGATTACCACCGCAGTTTATCTCCTTAAACTTTGTAAATGTGTATTTAAGAACACTTAAGATGCAAGCAGCAGACTAGTAACTTTAGACTTGAGTGCTACCATTTTGTTTCACAGAAGAAGAAGCCAAGATGAGGGCGAGTGACTTAGTCAGTTAGTAGAACTTCAGACTGAGATTGATAACCATTTATTAATAGTGAATAACCATTTTCTATATGAAATGTGAGTAGAAGTAGCCTCAGATAGCTGTAATTTCTAAGATGCAGAAGTAAGCCATTGTGGCCAACTGTCAAACTCAAAACAGAAGTTTAGAAAGCAATGTAGAAATCTTACAAGTAGGTGGAAAGTAAGAAGTGTTCAACTCTTAAAAAAAAACCTACACCCTTGTGGATTTTTAACCAGTAGAGGGTAAATTTGAAAACACTCTACTCATGTCAGAGATAGATGTCTCCTACTCCCCCGGGCTGAGGATGAGTATGAGTAGGTAACCAGACAGGTTCTTGTATACCCAGGACTTTCCTCTCTGTTGGTTTCCATTCATGCCGGTGATATTAAATATTCATCTTAGTTCAGAAAAAAATCCATATATAATATTACAACTCTCATCTTAAATTATGCACAAAATGTTCAAATGTCTTACTCATTGAGTTCCAGTGCTTCCAGCCGTTGAAACCAAGGCCACATAAGATAATCAGCCATAGAGACAGTGTCCCCACCAAAGAAGTCTGAGTTAAAAGGTGTTATAGCCTGAATGTTAAAGAAGGTAAAACAAGTTTATTTGTGCAATTAGGAAAATCATCATCAAAAAAAACAGAAGCAAATTAGGTAGAGCATGTCTAAATCTCTTTTATCCTGATATAGTCAACTTGGGTTTTTATGTGATTCTAATTGGGAATCTAATAGATAGTATACCAGTGTTTTCAACCTTCCTGATGCTGTGACCCTTTAATATAGTTCCTCATGTTGTGGTGACCCCCAACCATAAAATTATTTTCACTGCTACTTCATAAATCCTACGAATCATAATGTAAATATCTGTGTTTTCCAATGGTATCAGGCAAACCCTGTGGAAGGGTTTCTGGACCACCAAAGGGGTGACAACTCACTGGTCGAGAACCACTGTAGTATATAGATATGTTGGGAACACAAAGGTCCTTGCACTCACAGACAGCACTAGGGAAACCAGGAATACTGAACAGGCAGGGTTGTCTTTTCAAAGGAAGAGATGTATAACCCTTTCTGCCTAGAAGGCTAGAAGTGGAGGTGACTAATAGCCCTGTGCTATCTGTAGGGCCAAGCCATACCTGGCTTCCCGAAAGCTCCCACAACCATAACTGGAGCTGCCTAGATGACCTTTGTGTTATCTGTGTGGCCTCCAAGCTCCCACAACCAGGACCAGAGGTGGCTGATAGCCCAGATGACCTCTACGCTATCTGTATGACCAAGAGCACACCAGATCCTCCCCTAGGCCTGTAAGATAATACATGTAACCTATCTCTACAGCCCATCTTATAGACATGCACTTTGAGAAGTTTCGATGTAATTATGCCTCTGTGCAGAGGACTGTACTGTACTTAAATATGCCTAAAACAAACTGGGTGGTGTCAGACCTAGAAGTTTGAACCAGGACCAGCTCCTGAGTTGTACTGAACCAAATTTCCTTCTTGCCTCAAGCAGATTGTGACTCTGCCAGCCCTGGTGGTTACAGAGACCTGTTGTGCATGTATTTCTACTCCTGTTTAAAATATTTTGCAAATTGATACAAATGTAAAATTATATTTGTCATACTGTATGTATGTTCTACCTCTGTTTAGGATATTTTGTATATTGATACATATTAAGGATATTATTGTCATATTGCATATTGCACTATACATTTCTCTGCTTAAGGTATTTTCTGTATTGTCACAATTTTGAGGTCATTGTCCTTACAGACTGTTTACCTTGTTAATGTTAAGCCTTAGTCCTTAGATTATTTAGGTAGAGAAGACTTACAGAACTGTAGTCACTATGCTTGTCATTTCTGTAGTTATGTTAGTTAGGTTTTCCAGATTTACAGAAACATATGTTAGATGATAGATAGGTAATCTTCAAACACTTCATAGACCTAGAGAATATGGCATTTAAATGTTTTGATAAGTTAGAATTCTGTTGACCTGAGACATGATTGCTCCTGGTAGCATCAATCTGATCCCAAGAGAATGTTGGGCTTCTAAGACACTCTGTTTAGAAGTTTGTCTTCTTGGCACAAAATGGCCTGCTGGGCAAAGAACTCCCCCATGCCTCTACTGACAGTATGAACGCTGTCCTTTCTGGACGAGTAGGACACAAGGAAAATCAACTACTGAACCTTGCCAAGACAGGGTAAGATGGTCTTTCAAAATTCCTGCTTCTGAAAATGGTCTGTCAGATATTCTAGGCCTGTAGCCAAATTGGATGCCCCAATGATGCTAAGAAACTTTAGGCAACTATCCAGGCTGCCAGCTGTCTCTGTCTGTCCTCATAAGAATTTCGGAAATTGCTTGCTTGCATTTTCCGTTTTCTCAGCTATTATTATGTTCCTTTGACTAGATAGTTACAGTTACAATCTTCTTGTATCAAAGCTAGAATATATTAAGTACTAAAGTTAGAATCTTTAGGATAGGACAGCTATTGGAGTAATCTCAGTAATTTGCCATTTACCTTTGATCTGGACATTTAGCATGTCTTTCTTGTTTGATGTAGTTCCATTTTTGTTTATGTTATTACCCTTTGTTTTTCATGGACAATACTTGATAATCATTCTTATTGTATCTAGTTTGCATTAAGTTTAAAACCTTCTTATTTAGACAAAGAGGGGAAATATAGTGGTATTTTGCTCTGCCTATGACCTTGGGCTATAGGGCCCGAAGGAGGCGGTGCTTCTTGCCATTGTACATGACCTCTTAATGGCATGTGCCCCTTCTCCCTGCTGCATGCAAGGTGGATTCACTCCCAGTCAGATCACAGGACAACTTCAGCTGTCTACTCCATTCTGTATTCGTGAGTGTATTTCCTCAATTTACCCTAATTAATTTCCCTAATACTCCTTAAACAGACTTTCGTGGATTTCTTGCATTAGAGACCCCCACACTGATGTACACCGCAGCACTGTTTGGAATAGCTCAACTGTGAGCATGCTACTTGTCCAGAGTACAGTAAGGAATTTTTGTTACTATCAAACCTTAGAACACTGGACAGCAAATAGACAGGAACTATACTTAGTGTAGATGAATCTTAAAACACTAAATCAGAATGGAAGAAGCTATTAAAACATGCACATTATATAGCTGCATTTGTATAAAGCTTGAAACAACCCAAACTTCGTATGTGGATCTTAATACGGATGCTGGTACTATGATGTGTTTATTTTTTAAAAAGTTGTCAAGTTGTACTTTTATGCATTGAGTGCTTCTGTGAATGTAAAATTTTTAGTTAAAAACATACTTAAAATATCCTAGAAATGGATACAATTAGGTACTAAACGGGTGAAAATTATTTGAATAACACTAAGTTCAAATGGGATGTTTCTGAAATTTAAGAAGGTGAGTTGATAGTAGGGTTTCACCAAAGAAGGAAATTGAGAATATTATTTGGATAAACAAACTTATACCTGATAGAGGAAGGTAGGGTGCATATGACTAAAATTCATTATCTTCATATATGACACAAAGAATTTTAAAAGACCAGAACCAAGCCAATTTGCCCATTATAAATGACCTCCATAATCTTCCTCAGGGACCATGTAATGTTCTACAGTGTGGATAGATTGCTCATGTCTGATTATTTGTCTTCGCACCACTAAAATAAGAACCTGAAGAAGGTGAACTCCATCTTTCCAGCTTCCATGCTGTCCCACGGAAAACCATGAATTAGCAAAAACTGATTTAAGGATAAAACCCCACAATGAATCACCAGTAAAGAAACTGAACTGCACAGTAGAGCAGGCGCAAATTAAAATGCCCTGTTAAACTGTTTTAGGCATTAGAAAAATAAGGGAAGCTACCTAACCCATTTTAGGAGATTGGAATATTATGATGCCAGACCCAAATAAAGATATCAGAATAGTGAATTGTGGGTCAAACCCATGAGTATATATTGAGTATAGAATACATATGAAAGTCCACTGAGCAAGATGCCATCCCCTCTGTAGGCCTGGCCTGGCTGCCTTGAGAGGCACGGAGTCAGATTTTTCAAGTTAGAGTCCGTGGCTTCTGGGGTACTGTGTGCCTTCCAGTTCCTGAGAAACCAAGGCATAACCTCGGGCAGTGAAGTGTTCAGGCCACTTTGTGTTTCTGTGTGTTCCCTCAGTAGTCAAGGAAGCAAGTGTGGACACTTCACAGGACAATTACTCTTAAGACATATTTATCTTGTGTACCCGGTCTAGCTTGTAAACATCATTGTATCCTAGCAACTACAACTGTATTGATCCTGGCAACTGCCATCATACTCTGTTTCTGATAAACGTATAAAAAGTCTGGCTGCTCATAAAAATTGCCACAGCTTGTTTTGCTGTGGACCCTCCAAGGCCTGGTTTAGTTCCTCCAGGCTTTATCAGGTGACCTTGGCCTGATTAAGTAATTGTGGGTGCTTACAGACCACAAGCATGAGGTTAAAGGGAATGGGTCCTGTGAACATTTCCATAAATGCAACAGATGCTAGAAACATTGAATATCCACAGTGTAAGAATTAGCAGGTTAGGGCTAGAGAGATGGCTCAGAGGTTCAGGGCATGTTATGTTTTTCTACAGGACTGGAGTTTGGATCCCAGCATCCATGTCAAGTGGCTCACAACTGCCTGTAACTCCCAATCCAGGGGATCCAACAGGTGTGGCTGCACCTGCCTGCACCTGCACTGTCCCCTCACATACACATAGTTAAAAGTAAAAAGAGTCAAGTCTTAAAAAAGCAAATTAGCAACAGGATATAGTGAAGAAAAAAAAAAAACTTCAGAAAAAAACCAGATCAAACTCCATGCTCAGTGATAAAATGCTAGGATGCATCCCCATTGAAGATAGCATCTATGCTTTCCCTCAGTAAAATCTGTGGCTAAGTGTGAACAAGTGTCTCAAGACCAAGAAGAAAGCTTTATCTCAAAGCTTTATCCCAAAGGACAGCTCTCCCCAAAAGGAAAGAAATCTGGGCTTCCTTACATGTCTGCATTCCTGGCAGACTTCATAGTGGGAAACCTTTATCACATCAGCAGCAGGGAAAGCAATACAGTGGCATCTGTTGTCTGATGACAGCTAGGTTAAACTGTTGTTTTAATATATGAACATAGACTGGAAACAAAATGGAAACAAGACATATTGTGGAAACGGTAATATTTCTCGTTGTTATCTTAATGCTGATGTACTAAATACCTCAATCCCATAAGCCATGTGTGGTCATGCCTGTAACACTAGCACTCAGGCAACTGAGGCAGGAGGATCATGACTTTAAGGCCAGTGTGGGCTGCATAGTGGGCTTGAGGCTAGCCTGGGATGCAATGACACCTGTCTCAAAAACCTAAACAAAAATAAAAACAAGTCAATGACGTACTTTTAGGCATTTGGATTTATATCAGGAGCACAACAGCCTATAGAAATCTGTTGTGATTTCTTCTTATTTGGTACTATTTCTAATTGTCAGAAAGTGATTTAGAGAGTGAGCTTCTGAAAGAGGGAGGGGAAGGAAAGGAGTGTAGATATCAATTCTCATGTATTACAGTGAAAGCCAAGGGAAGTGAGTACCTCCTCCAGCTTGCGAAGTTCCTTGGTCAGTTCTTCTTTTAAGTCAGGAAGGTTTTCCTTCTTCTTCTCTCTAATAAAGCTTGAAACCAAAGGTGGCACCTGCACAGAGGATGATTTTTTAGTTTATCAGTGTGAGGCTATTGCCCCCCCCAACACACACACACACACACACACACACACACACACACACACACACACACACACACACACACACACACACACACAAACACACGAACCCTCATAGTCTTGACCCCCAACACACACATACAAACATAATAGAACCCTCATGTGGGGGGCCCAAAACAGCTTGACCACACAGCTGCCATGACAGGCTTACTGGAAGGTACCACCCAGTCCCCAGAAAAAGCCATAAGCTGACCCCATGGAGGGAGGGGGCAGCATCTAAGAGGAAATACCTAACATTCCAAATAGTCTCAGCACACACCTATACCCCCAGACAAATATCAGCCAATCAGGGTCCCGAACCCTGGAAATCCCTTCATGCCAACCTCTGCTATGATAAAAACCACACCCTGCCCAGGCTTGGCACACTCATACCACACCACTGTGTGAACACAGAGAGGGTCCAAGCACCAGCTGGCTTGAATAAAGGCTCTTTGCTTTTACATACAGGATTCAGTCTCTGTGGTAGTCTTTTGGGGGGTCCCTGAGATCTGGGCACAACACCTCATAGTCCTGTCCCCCAACACACACACACACACACACAAACATAATAGAACCCTCATGGTCCTGGTACCCCTCCAGAGTGTTGCAGAGACAAGTGTGGACCAAGTCCCAGTGTTTACAGAAACCACAGCCTGATCTTATAAACCTTTTTGTAGACTAGGATGTGAGATTGCACGGATTTTGTAATTTGCAGATAATGGAACCCACTTTGGCAAATTTGAGCCAAAAATTTCATAAGTAGACACCAAGTGGCCTAGAACTGAACAAACAGGCCTGGAACTATGGGAACTTTCTAAAATCATACTGAGAAATAGACTAACCAAGAGGTGCCAGCTCCTGCCAGTGCTAGTGAGCACTAATAGGCATTTGTACTGCTACACACTGAGACATCTACAAACAATGGCTCGAACACCATTGCTCCCCTAGAATTTAATCTTGCAGCCTCCACCACCACCCCTATAACCAGAAGCTCTGCAACCTGTTTTGCTGGCCCCGGCCATCCACACCAGGCCTGTTTCTTCACACTGCCCTTATCTCAGAGGAAGGCCACTGTGCGTATCTAACAAGGAGGGCCTAGGCCACAGGCCGTGGCCCCAGCTGCAAAGGGAGCTGGGAAGAGAAGTCTTCTGAGTTCTACCTTAGAACCACAAGACTATTTGAAGGGGACCTGAGTTCCTGAAGACTTGACAGGTGTGGTGTCTGACGTTTTAATGAGTATGGTTGGAGTTGTGAGTTTTGATACTTGGCTCTTCAAAATGACCTCACTGTCAGAGAAGAAAGCGCACGCAGAGTCTCAGGAAATCCCATCAATGTCAGTACAGTTGGCCCTTTCGGGGACTGATGGTCCAACACAGTCCTTCCTCCCACGCTGCCATCTTTGACTGCCTAGTGTTTTATCCATACTAACCCTTAATATCTCTTCCATATCATCTTGTCAGTTCCTCTTAATTTTGGTTTCCCCTAAAAATGCAATTGATGTGGCTTTGATTTCTCAAGTGATAGATATGTCTTTACATATGACTGTCTGAGTTTGTCTCTCATTTCCAATTTCCCAAGAGTGAAGATGACCAGCCCCTCCAGCAGAGCAGAGCACATCTCTGTTGTGATGAGCTGTAGCTCTGGGCCCAGGAGCTTGTGGTACAGAGGCTGCCCTTTCCCCTGGGATAAACAGGGAAAGAATGGTGGGCAACTCCAGCTTTGCTTTCTTCTCTTTCTTTCTGGACAGTAAATAAATCTTATTACTACTGTGTGTGTGTGTGTGTGTGTGTGTGTGTGTGTGTGTGTGTGTGTGTGTGTGTGTGTGTTGGGGAGGGGTTATATGCACTGGAGTGTGTGGGCGCAGTGCACCCATGCATGTGGAGGCAGAGCAGAACATTGATGACTTTCTCTGTCACTTGTCACTTACTGCCATATGACAGTGTCTTTCACTGAGCCAGAAATTTGTGCCTGGGCTGGCTGGGCAGGGAGCTCTCCAGCTCTGGGTGGTGCTACCCTCCACCGCCACTGCACACAGACACCCCAGCAGTGCTGCTATATCCCCTCCCCCCGCCACTGCACGCACGCACGCGCGCACGCACCATACTACCAAAGTAATTCATCCGAATGGGTGTAAGAAAGCATCACTATTCTTGTTGTCTAAGCACATATCTGTTGGGCATCTCTGCTAACACTAATTTGAATTAATCCACTCTGACGATAAATAAGATGCAAGCATATTCTTCCCCAGGAACCTCAGTGGATCATCACTGCTAAGAACTGGCCATAGCAATTAAGAGCTAACGCTGGGTAGTTACCATGTATCTAGACACTTCATGTTAGACCTGTTTACGTGTGACCTAACACACTAGAGGTAAAACAAGAAATCTGCCCCAAAGCACACAGTCTGAACATTTCCAAGCAAGTCACACACCTAAAGCAGTAAGCCAACAGTGATGGACAGACAGCCCTGTCTTCATGGCGCTCACATTTGCAGGCAACAAGGGCAAGAAGGCAGGCAGTTATGAAGGCAGAGGGCCAAGAGCCTTGATGAGGAAAAGCTCATCGGAACAGAGCTGGAGTCCTGAGCAGCCTGGACATGTTTCTAGAAGGCAGCAGGTCCAAGCATATACATCAAAGCTGCCTAAACCGAGGGAAAGAAGGGAGAAGACTCCCAGCCACAGCTGAGGGAGCAGGGCAGATGTGTGGCAAGACTGGGGGAAAATCATCAGGGGTAGAGTGAAGAGAAAGGGCCAAGAGGGCTGACTGTGAAAGGCAAGCAGGGAGCAGAGCACCAGAGCCTGCCAGGGCACAGGGATGGAGTATAGTCCTCTGCTAATGTTCCCGGCCTCTGAACCATCACAGAGGCAGTGCTGATTTAGCTTAAAATACCGGCTGGAATTTCTTACCTTAGAGAATAACTCTAAGTTCATCTTCTGGCGAGCTTTCTTGTAAGGGTCATCTGGGAACAATTTCTTCTCCGGGTACGCCTCATCCAGGTACTCACAAATGATGACGGAATCGGAGATCAAGCGACCCTGACTGTCCTCCAGAACCGGCACCAGCCCAGATGGATTCTTCTTGAAGAACCATTCAGGCTTGTTTTTCAGATTGATATTGATGATTTCGTGCCTGAAAGACACAAGACTACTGAAGAGAGCAAGCATTTTCTGTTTTCTCGAACTAGTGTTGAGTGGTTCTACCGTCTACCTAGTTAACGAGACCTTGGTTTAGGAAGAGAGTTCTGCCTCTGTCTTCACCATGCTCCATCAGCAGTTTGAGAACCTGGCTCCGATGCCCTCAGCAAGCGAATGAGACAGTGCTCACTTTTGTGTTTATCTGACTTGTTTCACTTAAGGTTCCCAGGATCCATCTCTGTTACACACTGTAGACTTCATTTAAAGGTGGGACAGCTGGGAGATAGTGATGCACACCTTTAATCCCAGCACTCAGGAGGCAGAGACAGGTGGATCTCTGTGAGTTCAAGGCCAACCTGGTCTACAGAGCGAGATCCAGGACAGGCTCCAAAGCTACACAGAAAAACCCTTATTAGAAGCAACCTGATAAAAACTCATTTCATTTTGATTCAGTTCAAAAAGTGTTGAACTGATATAACAATTCATTTTGCTAATACGAATTTTGAAATTCTTACAATGGTATTTTTTTTAATCCTAAAAAAATCTCATAAAATGAATCAGATTAAATCCACATGTGTTGATATATTTTCTTTCTTTCTTTTCTTTTTTATAAAAAAAAAAAAAAGGTTTTAAAAATCATGAAAAGCATGCAGCTGGAGAGACAGCCCAGTGGTTGAGGGCACCTGCTGCTCTTGCAGAGGATTTGGGTTCAGTTCCCAGGACCCATGTCAGGGTTTACAACTGTCTGAACCCTACCTAGTTCCCGGAGATCCAATGCCATCTTTTGCTCTGTGGGATCCTGCAAGCCCATGGTACACATAAACTCATACACATACATATAAAAATAAAATATTTTTCAAATTTATAGAAAATAAATAAAAAAGAAAGAATCCACTGGTGCCACACTAATTCCAGATTGTAACTGTATACCCTTGTATCTTGCAGAGAGTATAAGAGACAGTGTTGTAATCCTTCAAGCAATGTTTGTATACCTCAGATCAGGAGCAGAGTCCAGTAGGACAGATCACTCAAGAGTAAGATATCCCAACACCTCTGATTTCCTGTTTCCTCACCAACAACAGAACAGATTTAGTTTATAGATTTAATTACATAGTCCTTCACAAAAAAAAAGCAGTGTGAACATTGAAGTAAACTCCTGCGTTTGTGTGTGCAAAAAGGTTCCTATACTGACTCTGTGTGTGTGTGTGTGTGTGTGTGTGTGTGTGTGTGTGTGTGTGTGTGTGTGTGTGAAAAGGTTCATTTACTGACATAATAATGAACATACAGACCAGCTGCTGAAGAGAAAACAAAACCCTCCGACATAGAATAATGCTCATCTCTGAGAATTATACTTTGAAAACGAAATCAAAAACACAGGAATGCTGATATTTTGAGCAGCAGTCAATATACCTGCGCCCACAAGCAGAGAATACACTACAGATCTGGCCTGTGTAAGATGTTATTGCTCTTGAAAAAGCTTCCTGGGGTTCCAAACCGATCTGTGAAGTTCGTAGAGCAGTGATATGCACTGTCTGAAGGTACCAACCCCCCAATAAGAGCCCATCTCCCCACTGTTATAGTAAAATAATTTCAGATTTGCTTTGGGAAACTCCTGGTGAGAAACGTAATTCTTTTCCACCTAGAGTTTCAGCGGGAAACACATAACAAGGCATTGTGCCCTGCTTGCGCTTCGCCTTGCATGAGGTCAGTAAATATCCCTTATTGTTCAATTCAGTTTGAGTTTCTTAGTGATAGAAGTTCTGACTAAAACAGAAAATTTGCTCTAGGTAAATACTATCAAAAATATTTTCTTATTTGTTCAAAACCATGCTCTCTCATCCAAATGAAATCAAAATTGTTATGAAGTGATAGTTAATTTTAAAATATACCTTACCATTTAGGGAAAAGAACTGCCTGCCTATCCAATTCTCCCCATGAATATTTTCTTAAGAGTGGTCTTCCAAACAGCAAGTGTCTAATAATTATTCTCAGAGAAAAACCAACGACTCGCCAATTGTAGATAACCTGTAGGTCAACGACTGTTAGTTTCAATAATATGGCTTTGCAATGTGACTTTTAGACACAGACTCTCCCCTTGATTTTGCAAGAGCCCAACCCACGGGGCTGTGCACAGGAAAGTTGACTCAGAACTCTGCTTGCCAGGTCAAGTTCTGATCTTGGTCTCTAGGTGAAAGCGAAGCTCAGAAGATCAAGAATCCAGGGACCAGAGCTGAGATAGCCTTCACGGTGTACAGCGATCCTGGGCAAATGACTAATTTTACAGAAGAAACAGCTTTTCCAAGCTATGGAAAGCTTAAACAGGATGCCCTAGAGCCCAGGAGTCTGTGACAATTCTCCCCTTGAAAAGAGGGTGTGAAACTTAAGGCTCCTACAAAAGGCTGAGAATATTGCCCCTAAACACAAAACCAACGGGTCTGAAGCAAGCCACCAGCCCCAGGCGGCTAGGGAGTCGTCGCCCTGGTCCTCACCGGATTCCCTTGGCCTTCAGGACCATCAGCGTCCTCTGAGCGAAGGGGCAGAACCTCATGCTGTAGACGCGGATCTGGCCCTCCGGGACTGGACCGGGAGGCGGGCTTCCTGCAGAAGAGAAGAGGGGGTCACGGCCCAGATCGCACGGAGATCCGGGACATCCCGGACATCCCCGGTCCCCGGAGCCTGCTCGCCGCGGGCAGCCTCACCTTTCCCCAAGCACTTGGAGGATGCCCCGGACATCGTTGAGCTGTGCAGGCCGAGAGTCACGAGAGTCCCGCTCTAGTTCGTGGGCGACTCGGGAAACACATGGCCTCGACTCGCCTTAAGTGCCTGCGCTCAGCTCCGCCCAGACCACGCCCCCAGCCCGGAAGCTGGCCAATCCCCCACACAGATCAGCACTTAAAGGGGACCTGTGGTTCCCTTGAGTCACTTGCTGGCCACCTGGAGATTCACCAAAGCTGAGATGCTCAGGGCCACCCCAGCCCTCCAAGCAGAAAGTGGTCGCCTGTCTGTCTTCACATAGGACTCTGGCCCTGACCTCCGTACCTCCCATACTCTCTCCCTGGCCACCAAGGCACGCCCTGGCAGTCCTCATGATACCGGCCTCTGGTCTGCGACCCTTGGCGCTAGGAACAGCACACAAGCTGATTTAAGCGCAGTGGACTGAGGGAATTTAGCTTCTCTGGTTTATAGAGAAAAAAAAAGATCTGATCAAAGGGTGTGTGAAAAAACAGTATCTTTTCCCTTAGGAGTCAGGAAAGTGGGGCGGAGTCTGCACACCAGGATTCGCACAGCCAACAGTTGACAACTAGTAACTCTGGCGCTATTTACAGAAGACTACGCCTGGGTTTTGTTTCCAGCTCTATTACTGGAGAAGCAGAGAATGTCCTTGGAGCTTGCTCCACTTTTGATCTTAGCTTCTTGTGTTCACTAAAACTATGGAACAAAGTACCAAAGTGGCTTAACCAGCAGGTACACCTAAAGATCCCAGCCGGGGAATGGCAGCATCCTAGCAGATGGTGCTTCCCATGTGGCCAGACTAACCAGCATAGAGCAAACATGAACTCTTCAAAGAAAGAAAGGAATATATCCTGTCACAGCAAGCCACTGTACGAGATCATTGGTCTGCATTATTGCAGAGATC